CCCTGCCCCAGCTGACAAAGCAACAGACTAATTGTTGCCTTATCAGCAATTAAAATATTCTGTGCTGTCCGACAGAACCTCTAATTAAGCATAAATTGCAGCATAGGAAATTAATGAATGTGAAATAGGAGATAAATGTTATCTCTTGCTTCATTGGATAATGTTCATCTAATATTAGATTTGGAAGCTCTGTCTTCCCAGCTTTAATTTGTCCAGAGAAAAGTTGGTGAAATAAGATCATTCTTTGTTTCTATCCAGAAGAATGAGAGTTTTGTTCCTCTTACATATTTTGGCCTCTCTGGTAATTTTTATGGATGATCGCCAGCATGTAACATCTGTATATATGTGTCCTAAATAATAGGGTTGGGTTGGCAAGTGCAAGGGTTTGCAAAATGTATTACTGAGGTATGTGAGCTTGCGGTTCCATCCATTCACTTGGCAGATTGTTTTTAAGATGGTGATGCATGGGGCAGGGAAGTTTGGGAGTTGTGGAACTACTGATCTTCATACCTGCAGGCAGAGATTCTGGATTCGTAGGGCTTACTTGGGGTGCAGGGGCATGGGAAATTGACTTGTCCCAGCCTAAATTTATTATGACATGAGCTGATATTATTTTTTAATTAAAAAAAATAATTGGGGGGGATTTTTATTGGTATAACCATAGTGGAATAATTTTACTGTAACTGTAGAATTTCTTAGTCCTGGAACATATCATAAATAATTTTACTGTAATTTTACTGTAACAGTCACTTTCCCCCTGTATAAAGGCTGTTAATCCAGGTTATGCCTCGTCTTGTCATGTGATAGTTGGTTTAGAGGTTCTGCTTGCTTACATATATAAAGCAGCTACACCTGCTGATTCTCTCAAAGGGTTGTTTTAAAGAAAATTACCTATGTCTGACTAGCACCTTAAGTTCCATCACATGCAAATCAGGACAAAATTAACCAAAATGTAAGTTTACCAGAATCACTGGTATAACAGAATATGGGTAATACATGTCGGATAGAAATAACTTGATTACAGATGGCAGAGAATAATGTCCCTCCCCCGCATTTATTTAAGGTAATAATGACTCTAGTCCTCCATTTTGGGGGGCTAAGACAATTATATAAATAAATGACAACTTCTGAGGAAATTGGCCATAAGACTTTCTGTTGTATTTTGTATCTTTTGTCTACGGGAACCTTAATTTCCTTTGTTCTGAGTGGCAGGCGCCCCAACTTCTGCATGGCATGTAGAGGTCAGTGCTTGGTTGAGACCTGAATGGTAGGAAACTGGTGTCTTAACATAGACCTACAGACTGATTTAATAGATTTCATAGACATTAGGGCTGGAAGTACCTTGCAACATCATTGGGTCCAGCCCCCTGCCCAAGGAGTAGGAAGTCACCTGGGTTCAAATGATCCCAGCAAGATAGGAATCCAAGTGTTTCTTAAGTGTCCAGAGTAAGTGCTTGCACCACTTCTGTGGGGAGTCTATTCCAGGCCCTGGGGACTTGGATGGTAAAGAAATTTTTTCTTATGTCCAGCCTAAAACTGTTTTCCAGAAGTTTGTGACTGCTGGATCTTGTCTTCCCTTGGGGTGCCCTGGTGAACAGACGTTCTCCCAGTTTCTACAGTCACTGGGTGGAAAAGAGGAGTGAAAAGTACTAAATTTGAGAGGAGAAAAAAATGCATGTATTAATTCTTCTTTCCTTGTTCTTTACACACCCAAAGTAGAGCCGTCTTATCCTTTTGGCAACTCAGGTTTCCCTCTTTTAAAAAACAACCTGTTGTTGAACCAAGAAGGAACAGGTGAAAAATTTGCCTGTGCTCATCCTGCTGTATCAGAAAACGTTAAAAGAATGTCAAAAGTCATAGATGACTAAATCTCCAGTTATTTCAATGTAGTAGTCATTATGGCCATCCTTACTATTTTAGTTGCTTATGAGTACACTTAAAGAAGACTGAGGTCTTCTTTTAGAAGTAAATGAATAATGGTAATCCTGAAAAACTAAACAAATCTCCCTTTATATGTTGATATTTAGCACAGTAGGAAACAACCTGATCAAATCATCTCCTATAGTAGAATTTCTTAGTCCTGGAACATATCATAAAGGGATATGATGCATAAAGATTTACATTCTTTGTTTTTGCCTTCATATGGTGTGTACAGTTGCAGACTCAAGTGTTGTTGTTCCAATGAGAGGAATGGGGGAAGATGTGGTATGTAGTATATATAGTAATTCAGGTTGCTATGAAGAACTATACAACTGCTTTTACAAAAAAAAAACAACCTTGTATTAAAGAAGCAGATGGAGGAAATTATGTGAGAATATGTCAGCTGATTATGTATTTCCCTCTTTGATATTTCAGCTGATTGCAATGCCGTTCTTAAAGGTCTACAGCCCATTTTTCAACAGCAGAGAATGACAGAAACAGTTCACAGCTGGGAAGATCATGGTTACCTAGCAACTTACACCAACAAAAATGGCAGGTAAGTTGGATATTTGTACTCCAGAAACTATGTTCTGATTAGTGTAAGGCAGTTGGGTACTGCGTTAGACTGCTACTATTAAGTATTGTATCTAAAATGTACCCACTCCCCCTTTTAAGGTCATAAATTGTAAGAATATATTCCTCAATCATTCTTTTGTTTTACCACCTTTTTCTCCTCTCTTTAATTTTCTTCTCTCTTCCAGATCAGTTTGTTTCCTGTGGTTCCCCTGTCCCCCTGTACTCCCACCACTTTTAACTCCTTCCGGTCCTGATCCCTACAATACTTATGTACTTCTTACAAAATATATTTTCCTATTTCACTTTCTCCTTGCCAAGCATCTTGGTTCCTGTGAATTTCTTGGTAACCTACTTCCATCCAGGTTTGTGTGCATATATGTTTTTCCCCCAATGGGAAGGGTCCTTGGTGACAAAGAACTAGACAAGATTCAGTTCACCTCCTGAACAGAACCATTTTGGTCTGCTTTCACTCCGCTATACGCAGTGTCTCGGCAGCAAGGACAGGAGAGTCATGTCTTCAGATCTAGGACAGTCTGCCTCAAATTCCTTAACTTTCAAGATATCAGCTTAAGTATTCAGCCAGATAGATACTTTTAAATAACCACTTAGATTCTGCAGAATCAAAAGTTCTCCCAAAGTGAAAGTTCTCCATACGTATTTTGGGTGAATTGTATTTCAAACCCTTTGTTTATATATCACTCCTGTTATGGCCTCAGAATCTCAAAGTTTTCCAAAAATAATATTTATCTGAATACTTCTAATCCAGCTTTAGAAAATTGCATCATTTTTACAATCATAGTTATAGTAATTGAGGTATTTCTTCCCCTTTATTACCTTTGTTTTAGCTTCTTGAAAAACTTGATTGGTTCTTTGCAAGTATGGTCACTTAAAAATTGACTGTGCACAAAAATGGTTGCTTATGGTGTGAGTGGGGACCATACGCTCATGTAAACAATGCTAATTGAGATGAACGACCAAACAAAACTTATTTTCATCTGTTTTATGATACAGAAAATGATTTTGCAGGGTTGTATATATAATTGGGTTATTCAACATTTCATAGAACCTGTTAAATGAGCTTTACTGCACTTGATTTGGGCCTGAGAATCTGTTAATTTCTGTTCCCAAGGATGAAAAAAAGAAAAATCTGTGGAGTTTGAGTAGGGTTTTATGCTTTGTGTAGGTTAGTGTGACATTTGGGACTGCCCTCTCATCTGCATAGCTATACAGAGCCAGTTGCAATGTACCAAGTTACTATCTGTACAGTGTGAAAACATTGTCTTTGGCCATACAAGGTATTCTTTGGTTTGACTCCTTTTTTAAGCAAGGTTAAGTATGCTAGTGTGAAATTGCATTGGTGTAAGCAACAAGCCTTTTATTAATCCATATTAATAACTACATTCTGCAGGAATATAAAATTACTTCTGCATAGGAAAGGCCGTGAATTTGCCATTAGAAGAGATACTGTCTGAACTTTGCTGCGTAGAGGTTTACAAGACTTCAGTTCCCCTTTTTGTAGACTCCTCTGCTGAACAAGTTAAAAAAAGAATCTCCACACTTTTTCTAACTTTACCTCCCATTAAAAAAGCAGTGCTGCTTTACTTATTGGTCCAATATTTAGAAACATGAAGGCCTTCTCTAAACTAGAAGGTTTTCTCAGTATGGTTGAAATTGTGCAGCTACCTGGATAGGAAGGGGAATAAGAGACTTTTCTGCCAACATAGTGGTATTCATTTTTGAGTTTTTTGCCTGTAAGAATGAACATACCCTTTAATAAAAATATTATGATAGTAAAATGCTTAAGTGTAGGCTGGACCTTTGGTACTGAATACTTTAGTGAAGGGAATGGTAGACTGAGGAACAGAGAGGAAAAGAGCTTTCTATGTGTTTTTCCTGCCCAGGGCAGGAAAGGTTTTTTGTTTGTTTGTTTGTTTTTTTTGTCTGAAGCAAGCTTGGACCTCTAGAAAAGTATCTGTGCCCTTGCAGGGTCTCTGAGAAATGACCTAGTGTTTCTAGTTTAAAAGGTCCCCGCCAGGCTGCATAATGCACTCGTAGATGAGTTTTGAACTTTATTTCTACTCTTCAGCTTAGCTTTCTTGTCAGTTGAAACTAATTTCCACTGGGTTGACCTGAAATTTCTCCTTCATGTCCTCACTTCTTTTGCTATATTGTACTGTTGAAAAACTGGATTAAAAAAAAAAAAAA